GGACGGACAGGTTGTCGGTATGATTACGAGCGGCGATGAGGACATTACAGAGGGATATGCCGTTCCCTACAACCATATGATGAAGGGTTTGTAGTTTTCATTGATTACAACCAGTGATCGCACTATCGGTTCATATAATGAGATGTTTTTAATATATCTTAAGAATTCATTGAAAGAGGGATTGATTTTGACAAACGACACGATAATGAGATGATATCCAAAGCACTTGAAGAGAGACACGAAGTAACATCTCAACGATCGCTGGGTATATGCGTCCGCCCGAAACGATGGGGTCGTTATTCCCGAGTCCTAGTTGTGGATCAAGTTATGGGGAATCGGGTGGTTGTCGGGTATGAGTAGTTTCATAACTATCTATATTTATTATCAACAATATTGCATGTATTGAATCACTAAATGTCTGTCATTTGTGACTGTTATGTAATAATCTTAGTATTGAACGACTATTAACTTAACATCCATTTCCCCTTTCAGTGAAACCCAATTCATTCCGGGAGATGATGTGATCACTGAAGTGAATGGAAATGCCGTCGATTCTGTTGAAAGGTTGAGTCAATCGATAACTGGGACAACCACTGAAACTGTTGACCTAACTGTCCGTCGCTTTAATGATGATACCGGCGATTACGATACCATTACCCTTATAGTCAAACCTGAGCCCATAACCAGGTTTTTAATATGATTTATGACTGCATTTTTAAATAGCTTGATACTATACCAAATTATTTACTGTATTATAGTTTTCTAAGTTTAGATAAATTAGTTATATTTATAAATAAAATAATTCCTTATGAAATGAATTCATCAGTGCTTTAATTATTTTACTAACAAGAGTGAGAAAACAAAATAAATTTATAGTATAAATTTGACATAGTTCATAAAATATTAATCAAATACTCGATTATATAATTGAATAGACTCTTGAAAACTACATTTTTGTGACTATTTTATTGCTCTTATATTGCAAACACAACTTTCGAAATCTTTAGAAATAGTGAATTAGTAAATTATGTACCATGTTCAATCATTCAAATCATTTAAGTTAGTTTGATTTCATTTATACCTTGTATATTTAATAATTGAGTCAATAGTGGTGTATCTGACTCTGTAGTCGACTTAATACCAGTCAAACTCATTCAATACAATGAATTTTACTCAAATAACTTATAATTAGTCGATAATATTCATCAATCACTCAAAAACTAATCATTTTGAAAAAATTCCTAAACTTTTTTTATGATTACAAATCTACTCATAATTAGTTAGTAATGAGTTTTCCCAGAATATAGCAATGAGACTGCGATACATGTTATAGAAATGAGTGGTTTTCAGTGTAAGTCTCACATTTGTATGCATCGGTCGATGAATTAGTTTGAAATGACATTTCTGCAGCGAACTGAACATGGCATACAATCTTTAAAATGTCTGCAATGAGTCAAACCAGTGATCCGGTTCATCCCAAAGAGCTGCCGGAGTTCTTCGATTCCTCCAAATATGCAGACGAAGAGCTGATGGTTGAGCCACACGTTCACGAGTCGGAGACTGAAGACCCCAATAATAATGATGGCGTTCCGGACGAAGAGATGACGGCTTTCTTCAGATATATGGATAACATGTACTTCAGAGGCAGGCTATACGAGAGAGGGGTCCGGATAAAGGTGTCGACGAGACTGAAGAAGAATTGGACCCGAATTGTGAAGACAACGAAGTGAGTAATGGTTAAGACATATCTATATATGGTTTTAATGCTTGGGATCAATTGATAGCTCGTATGAGATCCGTATGACTGATATATTGGTTGATAATGACCACAAACATGATATGCCTGACTATGTCTTGGATGCTATGATCAAAGTGAACGGAATGATCGCTCGGGCAGAGGGTATGGTATGTGAGATATGAAGTACTTTTAGTAAAATGTGATTTTCTACTGACAGAGAAAATGAAAAAATCAAATATCAGTGAAAAACAGATTAAGAAACCATTGGATAGTCTATCGGAAAAACAAAACGAAAAACCAAATGTCAATGCAATGAACGAACCAAAAAATGTTTAAATGAGTGCAAAGTTATTTGAATTATGAGTTCACTGTAATAGAGTTTATCTATTAGACTACCGGTGCTGACGACTTGGGCGACGAAGAACTCGAAAAACTAATCCTCAAAACCGAGAAGATGTCGCTCGCGGCCGAAACACTGGAGGAAATGGATCCCAAGCCGTGTATCAATGAATTGTTCCGGAGATACGACAAGAGGTTCTTCGATGGATTGCTTCACGGGAATGATGTGGACGTCGGATGGAGTTATCAAATGAAACGGAGCGCCGGTATTACGTACGCCGATCGGGGCGATCGACCCATTATTATACGGTTGTGTCGACGCCTCCTATTTAGATCCCCGCGAAGAGATCTCGTGGAGACACTCCTCCATGAGATGATTCACGCCTGGATGCTCATACATGGCGTGGAAGGTTAGCCTGGTCATTGTTTTGATACGATATTGTGGTTGTAATGTATTTATTGTCAACTTTTTAGAGGATAATGGAGGGCACGGAAGGGTTTTCCACAAGAAAATGGATGAACTGAACCGCGAAACGGGTCTAAACATAGCCGTCGGACACAATCTTCCGGATATCGATCCCAACGATGATATGAATCGGTTTGAAAAGACGCGACAGA